ACAAGAGTTAATAATCTGTGAAAGCTTCTGGACTGCTTTGTTTTGTTGGGTTTTTTATCTGTCCTGTATTGATTTAGTATCTTGTCAAACCTCTCAATTCTCATGATACAAAGAAAATGTACCATGGCTTTTCAGAACACAGATTTGTATTCTCACTTCTTTCTGGAGTTGTTTATCTTCTCTTTTTGAACACGTGTCCAGTAACAATTTTTTCTCCAATGCTTAGACTAAAAGGCTTTTAAGAGGCAAGAGCTGCAAACCTGACCTTATTCACCTGCCTGTCCCAGAGTTCAAGCACAGGCAGGGACAGGGAAGTTTGGCCACACTGTGCTTGTGTTTCCAGGCAACCGTCATGTTAATCAGGAGCATCCAACTGTGCTTGATTATATCTAGTATTTGAAGCAGAAAAGGAACATAAAATAGTTACTCCAGGGAGCAGACTTGCAAAGTTTTATTTGGCTTCCTGGCTTCAGTGAGTAATGCTTTGATAAGGGAATATTTCTGTTTTCATTGTTATTAATCTCCAGTATAAAGATTTGGCAAATAAAGCTTTCATGTCTGGGCTGGTAAATTTTCATGGCAATTTTGCAAATCCAACCAGGGACACCTTGTTTTGTGAGCCTTCCTCTTTGTTTTATTTCTTACAAGTTTGCCTTCAGAGCTTTTATGGGTTTTTTTGAGCCATCAGAAACTGATGAGCTGTTTTGCTTTCTGCTCAATAGGCTGCTTTCTAGCTAGCTGAGGCTTACACTTAATTACAGTTTCTACCTGTGTGGATACCTTGATTGTCTGCTGTCAGTCAACAAAATCAGTGTACTTTCCTGCTTCACAGCCTGTGAACCTCACAAACAAACACATCAGATTTGAATCCTGGGCATTGAGACTGGTGAGTTCTGTATCCTTAGCTCCTTTCTTCCACAGTTTGAGACCAAGTCATGAACCTAAATCTTGGGTAATTTTCCTTGGTGTGCCAGAGGTCTCAAAGTGCTGTCTCATGTGCTGTTCCTAGAGGTAAATTAGCCTTAAATGGAATCCTTAAGGTTCCAAATCTCCAAAAGTGAAAATAAAATTCAGATGTCATTGGCTGATGATTATCTTTTGTTTGTTTGTCCTCTAGATGAAAAAGTATTTTTATCTAAAATGTTGCATACCTGGATGTCAGTAGATTGTTTTAAATACTGCATTGCTTTATCCTTTCCTAATGTACCATGGTAGAGCTTTTTCAGCTGTGTAACTCATGGAAATCAGCGAGATGCTGCCCTTGTGTTTTAATCAAGATGAACTTGAAAGGTGAACATTGTAAGTGATAGAAATTATTTATAATTTGGTAATAAAAGTTTATGTCTAGCACTCCAAATTTCACACATCTGCTATGTGCTGGCCTTGAGATAAAGAACAATTGCAATTGCCTTTACATTTGGCCTCAGATGAAAGGTCATAAATTACGATGATAGAGTTCTTAGTCGTTCCCAGCTCACAAAATTTCCATATTAACATCTTCACCTCAAACATAAATGGTTACGTAGTTACAAAGTAAAGAGTTGTATTGGCCTTTGTCAACTGAACTTTAAGATGGAAGTCTGTGGATCTATTGCTAACTCTTAAACACAAAGCCTCACAGAATCCTTGTTCAGAGGACCTAATTAAAACTTTACCGTTAACTTTAAAAATTAAATGGGATTTCACTTTCACTCATGCTCTCTCTCTTCTCTCTCCTAGCAATAAAACCCACTTTAAAGTTAGGAAGATTTTTCTCTCCCAGCTACTTGAAATAAAAGCATTTTCAGAGTGAGATGGCTACAGAACACAGAATGGGTCAGAAGGAGCCTTTTCCTGTGAATTGCACATCGTTTATATAAGTTAAGTGCAGATCAACAACAATCCAGATGACAAAAGAATGTCTGTGGCCCATTTTGAATTCAACCTAACAATCCCCAGCTACACCCAGTGGATGAATAAAAGCCTCAATCTTTAAACAGTTCTCACCTGAAACTTTTGTCAGAGAGGACAAATCCATTCTGGCCCAAATCACAGCATATCACATGATTTTAACAATTAACTTCAGTGTCTTCTTAGGTTCGAAAAAGAGGAAATAATTTTTTTTTAAGTTATGTAATAAAGTAAGAGACAAGATCAAGTTCCAAATCCAGGGGAGCATTTCTTGTTCTCTGAGGGGAGGTAGAAGGAGGTATCAGCCTCCATGAAATAGTGTTGATATGGAGAAGCTCTGCAATTCAAGATTAGCATTGATATTGCAGGGTTTCTTGAGGGCCCTGAAGTAAACATGACAGTACATTTTTGGGATTTGAGAGGTGGAAGGCAAAATTCTGCTCTCACTAAAGCCAGCAGAAGTTTTGCTAATTACTCCTCCATTACTTAGGATACATTTGTGAGTTACTGAAAATACACCTGAGGTCTCAAAACCTTCCTTCTGGAGCTGTGTTCTTTCACTGTGATTTATGCTTCTTAGAACTGTCTTCTTCTGATGTTCTGAGTGTGAGGAATAAGACATTAAGGAAGTGAAGGGTGCATGAAGAAGCAAGAGAAAGAAAGGAAGTATTGGGACCTTCTTCCCTTTCCTCCTCTGCAAACTTCCTGGTGGACAAGGAACTGTCAGCAGTTCTTCCAGGGAGCTGGGGAGAACAATGTTAGAACTCAGAGGCTTTCTCTCTGTCTCCTACACTTTCAGTTCCGTCAAAAGGAAAGGAGGAGCCTCAGAAGCTTTCAGAGTTCACTTAACCCCCTCCGAGTTCCTGGGAGTGCTTTGCTTCCCAAGGGCCCGGCTTTTTAATGAGTATTAAGAGGTCTGATATTCCCCTTTGGATGCATTTGGATGGGAGAGTTCAAGCCTCCCAGCATGTGAATGATTGTATGTGCCTATACAGTAAAACTTCAAAGATGTTTTTCTCCATAAACAGAGGCTTAGTTATCCAGCATTATTTCCCATGATGTGCTAGGATCATCAGAACTACTAATTTCCTTCCATGTTCTCAACTAAAAAGTTAATATATTTTTGAATGGAACCTTACTCAAAGTAGTATTGGGTTTGACCTATAGATTTTAGATAGAAGAGCCTAACAAAATTCTGTCATCTTCAACTTCTTATACTGTGCTCAGCCCCTTGGGATGTTCATCTCCTCCTATATGGCTTAAGTGACATGATGACCTTTTGTCACATATTTGTCTTTCCTAGTTTCTGTCCAGTTAAAATATACTGTGACAGATCATGTCAGGTTTGTGTTTTCTATTAAACAAAGGCTGGAAGCCCTTCTTGATTTCTTTTCACACCACTTAGCTAGATTTTTTTTTCTAAAATATGATAGAGTTGGAGCAAAGCCTTTTGTGCTTAGACTCTATAGAATATTCACATCAGGGTAAAGACACACTCTAAATATTTTGCTTGTGGAGTATCAATTCCAGATTACATTCAAATGTAAGCTTCCCCACATGCAGTTTGATGAAGCTGATTCAGTACTTCAGGTTGAAAACTCTGATATCAAGTTTAAGCAAAAAAAGGGGTTGAAGTGGTAACTTTAAACTCACCTGCTGGTGCAAAACATTTGCAAAGTTGGTTCCCAGCTCCCTAGAAATGCTTCTGATGCAGACTTGGGGATATGAAGTAAGCATGAGTCAGATGTGTAGTGTGGTAATAACGATATATACCTTGTCCTGAATTTCAATGGAAAAGGAAGGTTAAAGTGTGTTCAGCCATCTTAAACATGTAGAATTATGGGGATTATGTTATCATCACCACTTACTAACAGGAGAGCTCAATAACTTTAGAAATAAAATGCAATTTAATGTCAATGTTAGGCCACTCCTAGAGCATTTGTGAGCTGGTATTTTTCAATAGGCCCAAATTTCTGGCTATTGACTAAAAAGTCATTATTTTGTGAAGGGAATGAAAGAGAATTCAATTCTTTTGTAATATAACAACAAAATCAAAAGGGAAGACTAGAAGGCTGTATCTATATGAAATAAATGGTTTTGCTAGGAAAATAATAATAGCATAAAGTTTCATGTTAAGTCAAAAGTTAATTTTTCACAGAATACATTATACAACTCTCTTGTCTTTTTAACTGTAATATAAATTCAATGTATACACTAGTGAAAGTAAAGATTCTATCTATAAATAGAGATCTGTCAATTTGGTATGACTGCCTGTGACCCAGTCCCCGGGGTCTGCAGTTTCTGAAGTAGTATAACCTCAAACACACTGTTCAGATCTGATTCCCCGGTGTTCACACATGCCAGAAAATATTCCTCTATACTTTTTTCTTGTCTGGTTTTACAAGAAAAAGTATATTCCTGGAAAAATGACATAAAACAATATTGATGGTTAGGTACTAACTCTTCCGGATCTGCAATAGCAGGTTTGGAGAAATGCTATCTTCTAAGAGAGGGGAATGATGTGGGCAACTGACTCACTGTTCCACAGTGTGGTTCACACCTTTCAGGCAAAACTGCCATCTGTGCCATCAGTGCAGCTCCATCTCTCCAAGGAATTGTAGGAGCTTTAGGGCAAAAAACAACAACCATCTTTTCTCACTCACCTGATCCTACCTGGAAAATTGAGAGGGAAGTAGCATAAAGTGCCTGTAGCCATCCAGACCACCTGGCATTAGAAATCTCACTCTTGCTGCTGCTGCTGGACCTGCATGGATGTTGGAAACAGTGGAGAATTCTACGAAAGCACTCAGCATAGACAGGGTTTGTGACAGTGGAACTGCAAAGGTTCAAAAGCCCCTTGTGAGCAGAAGACAGATGATACAGAAGCCTGATCAGTCCTTGCAGGCTTTTGAAGCCAGGAAGGTGTTGGCAACATTGCTGTAAAACGGGTTATAAATCCTTATGACTTGGATCGTTAAAGAACTACAGCTCTCATTACTCTCTCTGCAGGGACTTCATGCTACAAAGAGGAAGAAAATCCTCTCTGCTTCCAGGAGAAGGTAGAAGGTGAAGAAGCACACTGCATTCACATGTTTTTTCTTTGGTTCTTGTTCCATTTTGCTGCCAGCTCCATTGAGTGGCACATGTTCTTGGTTTCCTCCATGATGTGTGCAATCCTCTGGTCTTACCTCATCAGATCATGTCCCAACTGTGTCACCTCTTCAGCTACTACATTTTTCCTATGCATTCACCTGCCTCATCCAAATAATTTCCTTTCTTTTTTTTTTTTCTTTTTCTGTTTTTATTTTGTTGGGCTTTTTTTCCCCACCATGGCTTTTGCCTGCTTGTCTTCTTGGGATTGACATTACCAATTGATTTCATATAATGCACATTGGACAGCCTAAATATAAATTCCTGTCTCTGGATGTAGAGTTTGGACATTAAAATCAATGCTTGGGAGGTGAAAGGCTTCATTGCCCATAAATAACTCTTAAAATGCTCATTTTGGCTCCTCAGAGTATCAACAATGGAGGATATCATTTGAAAGATGAAATGTGAAAATACACATGCTATGCTCACATGCTTAAGTTTCCTCAGCTGGAAGGAATTCTGGTGGAAATGGAAAATAACAATGAATTTGTGTTTTTGCACAAAATGGATAAGGAGATTTTTAATTTTTTTTTTGTAATAATAAAGAAATATCTGTGATAATTTATCCCATTGTTGAATTATGAATTATAAATTAATAACTACATGCTGTGTAAACACCTCAGAGTTACACCAACAAACAGTGCAAATTTCCAGTTTGAAGTTTGGAAGTGAGCAAGTCAAGCGTGGGACAGGTTAGTCCAGAGAGGGAGGATCTGCTTTCACTTCTGCTGCTGAGCTACTCTCAAATGTTGAGGCAGCTCATCTCACCTCTCTGTGTCTCACCCTCTCCTCTGTAAAACAGCAAGAATGCTATATCTAAAGTGCTTTCAGATCAATGGATGAAAAGTTTATGTAGTAGGAAGGTATTATTAAGATCTTAATGATGCCATGGGAGAAAATGATCAATAATTATTTATATTTTCCTTTGCTGTTTAGGAGGTATTTTTCTACTGACTGTATTTTCTACAGTCAAGTGCATAACAGCTGCGTCTTGCAGAACATACAAGTCTTTTTGTATCTGTATTATATAAAGATGGAAAACAGGTTAAATTCTAGTATGTCATTTCTCTCAAAGCTGGAGGGCCGAAGTCAAAGAAAAATCTAATGATTTACTGCATGAACAAATGCTATGATTAGCTATGCATTACTATATTCTACAGGACTGTATAAGCATGCTTTACTCATCCTATATTTTAAGATTGAATATTTTTAGGAATTCAGATAAAAAAGATTGCTTTCAAAAATTGCCCCACATCAAGTAACCTATGTTTAAGGAATTGTGTATTTATTTTTAAAGTAACCTCATTACTACCAAACTACTTCTTCCTTTTGACAGTAAAGCAGAGTGCTTATCTTCCATATTTTCATAATGAAAGCTCCCAAGCACAGGATACTGTGGCAGATTTACAGCCTTCGAGCAGCAGAACTGACAGGCATTTTAATATGAAAGGAGATATGGTGTCTTTAATGTACAGTGATGTCACTTCTAACAAGGTAGAAGTGTGCATTTTGCACTGAAATCACCGTAAGAAGTGAAACCTGTCTGCTTCAGGAGTCACCTTTTAACCTAGGAAAAGGTCACAAATAATAGAAAAAAGACAGGACTCTGCTTACTCAGGTGGAAGGGCACTCTGACGTTGGAGGAGCAAGGCTATTGTGGATGTGCATTATCTCCAGGAAGCTGAAGCTACAAATAGTCTAGCTCGAGCTAACCTTGAGAACAGAAAAGGAAAGGATAATGAAAATCCTCAAGGGAGTGTTAAACTGAAAGCCAGATTGCCTGTTGACCACCCTTTTTCCTTTTATCCAGCATTGATTGGACCTAATAACTTGAAAGTGATATTGACAGCAATATAGTCCACATATAACCTGGACACATGATTATTTCATTGAGAGAAAGGATAGGAACCCAGTACCAAAAACCTATTTCATTCTACATTAGACCAGAGAATTTACTACTTTGTCTAGGAAATATTTGCCAGTGATTTTAAAGGCTGATTTAAAATGTGCATTTCTTAAATGTACTCCCAGTTCTTGACTGAAAGCTTTTATCATGTCATTCTCAAGACGCACCATTCTTAAACATCATATACAAGAACATAAGATTAAAAGGCCATAAAATGGCAAGAAATCTCAAGGTCCAATAAGTACATTGTGCTAGCATTAGGCTGGTGACTTTGATTAAAGACAGGAAATTAAAATACGTTGTCACATATATAGAGACAGTATCTCCTGAAGACAGTTGCTTCCTCCAAACTAAAATTTCAGAAAATCAACTTTAGATATTATGTCCTTTGGTGTTTTGGCAGTTCGATCTTGAAGGGATTGCAATAAGGAGGAAAAGAGCAGCATAAGAAGTAATTATATTGTTTTCTATTATCTTTGCAGAAATCTTGATTTTAAATGAAACTGGTTTTCCAGAGCCTCTCAACCATCATGTTCTCCTAACCAGGGTGCTGGGGCACAGAAACAGCGACAGTCAGGTAAGGTAAAACAAGGAGGAAATCACAGCTTTGAACAGTTAGTACAGTGTTATCCCCAACATGATGCACTCACGTCAATACAGCTGTGTATCTCTGTGTCCTGCAAAATCAGAAATGATGATTGACCTCATGAGGATGCTTGTAATATCCCACTGCTAGCCCTTCTGTTCTTTTGAATTTAATTTTTATAGATTAGTATATTTTTAGGAGTGATGTGATTGGTTTTCATTTACTTTGAAACAATGGTCTCCCTTCCTCCCTCTTCAAAATGGAAGAGAAATTGCAAATTCAAGTTTACATATAGAAACAATCAAGTCACATTTCAGTAGAAAATGTCAGAAAAACTGACGGTAGCAGTGAATTGTTCTCCCCATTTTAAGCCTGTTATTCCAACAGCAAAGGTACCTTTTGAAGGTAAGTCGTGTGTATGCTTAGAGTTATGATAATATTTCAATTATATTATCCAGAAAGTAAAAATACTGGGAAATGAGATACAATGTGATATTGCTGTAGATCCATAGATCCCTATAAAAATAAATCTGGTGTCAGTAATGTAAGGTAATGGTTTGAAAGGCCCTGCAATAACTTTTAAAGGTCCTGTGTCTGGAGAGGAAAGCGGCTTGACAGACACAAGTCATGAACTGCTTTGCTTTCCATGCTGCCTTATATCTGTCAATATATTGGTTATGGAGCTGTGCTGAGGCCAGTCTCCAAAGGCAGACTGTCACATTTCTCAAAAGATAAAACATCCCTAAGGGTACAAAGAATCCAGGGACACAAGCTGATAGACAGGAGCAGTGCTGCGACTCTAACATTTTATGGCCGAGTTCAGCGAGTGAGCCCTTTACTGGATAATTGAATTGATGAAAGGCTTACAGTTGCCCCGATTAAGCTTATTCCTTCTCCATATGCAAGACTCAGGATAGTTTAAGCAGAAATTGAAGAAGAAATTCAGGAGAGAGGCATTCATAAGCCCTTTGAAAACTGGTCTCACATGAAAAGCTTTCCATTTGTTATGTTACATGTGCTGTTTGTCCGTAAAAAGAATCCTGTTGTCCAAGAAGTGCTATTTGCAGCAGACTTTTTTTTCTTCTAACTAAGGGTTTGTAAATATTTTTAGAACAGGTCTTGCTGCTTCATGACTCATTCCCCTTACGATCTTTGGTATTTTTCCCATTTGTGATCATGCAGCATCCCTGTGGCATATGGTCACCTGGGAAAGTATTATTAGGGAAGAAATTAAGGGATTTTAGCTATTTTTAACATTTCTTGGAAGACTGAAATGTGGAAGAAGAGCCACATCAAAGCAACATTTTTCAATCTTCTATTTTACATTAACCAGTCTCATTTGTTTGTGCTTTCCATGATGTATCCCTCTATTGTATCTTTATTCATAATTGAATTGAGAATGATTTGGGCAATGTTCTTTGCCTCTACAACATGCTTATCCAGTGCCAAGTGCAAGGGACCATTAGGTGCTATGATAATACACTTTTTAAATAATTGCATATTGTACCAGGAGCTCATAATTTCCTGCTGATGAAAGAGAACAGCCAGGACATATTTAACCAAGTACTCAGGTAATGAGGACATACCTTCTAGTGTGATGAAAGGAAAAAGGAAGTATGATCTAATTCTTCAAGCCTAAACTTGGATTTAGCACTGTAAGTATTAGCAGCAGGATGCCATGGCAGTGTGAGGGTACAGTCAGAAGCAGGACTTATTTTTTACAGTTCAGCAGTAGATCATGTCCTGTGTGAAGTTATGAAAGCTATCATGAAATCTCTTAAATAATCTTAATAGAAATTAACTTCTACAAACACAACTTCTTATTTATGAACACTAGCCATGATGGCCTACTACAGAACACAGCTAACTGAGGTAATAATGTGGAGATATCACATTTGTGACAGGACCTCCAGACCCTGTCTTTTTACTCTGTCAGGTTTAAGGGCAATGACTGTAAATAAGCCAATTTCAATTGCTTTTTATACTGTATTCCCATTGTCCTTCTGAAGACATTAAGGGAAAGGGGCACTCAATTTATACCTGAGACTATAATTAATCAATAGGATCAACAGGCTGGCAACTACTTATTTTCAACAGAAACTCCATGGTTTGCTGGTACCAAAGCTTCATTTTTTTAACATTTCATTTCCAAATTTCATCTCTAGAGACAGCAAGCTACCAAAAGAATCCAGTGTTGATGTCTTTTCTTGGCAGTGCCTATGGTTTCATTTGCTCTTGGCCTGGACAGCCAGACAACATCCCTGCTGGACCAGGACAGTCAGATGTACCTAGACAATCTGCACTTATCAGTTTGAGTCTCATGTAAGTAACTTAATATGGCTTACAAGTTAAAGCACTTTGCTAGTGTGCTTACACTCCCTCCTATGTATATATATATATATATATATATATATATATATATATATATATATATATATGTATGTATGTATGTATGTATGTATGTATATGTATGTATATGCTGAGTATTCTGATAAATTTTTTTAGGGAGAAACTATTTCATTCACAGTTTATTTATAATGTTTAGTGCAATATTTATATATGTTTAGTGCAATTATATATTTACAATACTCTCACAGGGTCATAAAATATTATACCATATGCTTAAATATTTTTTTTTTCTTTAAATTAAAGGCTGGGTTATAACTGCAATTTTTTTCTTCAGCCCAAACTTTTGGATTCCATCCACACATGTGGTAACATTTGCCATTCTGTTTAATTAACCAGATTGGTGAGAATGTTTGATTTTTAAAGAACCTTCTCTTTATGAAGAATTAAAGGTCATAGCTGGAAAACTGGCCAGCTGAGCTCAGTCATTTCTAAGTATTTTGTTAATTTTTCCTGGTTAATGGTCCTTTCAAATTCAGAGTGTGCAGTTTCTTTAGACTTGCATCAAACACTCCTCAGAAATAGCAGGTCACAGTGGGAAAAGATAATCTATTTCCTTCAAGCACTGCATCTCTATCTGTGAACTATTGGCATCACATGAAGATTGATTAAAGTTTTGCCGACACCTAATGCATGAGAAAAAAAATTAAAATTGCCCTCTTTGCCTATCAAAGGATATCCATCTCAAATTCTAGCTGCTTGTCTCTGAGGTGTGAAACAAACTGATTCTGTTTATCAATTAGGGTGCCCATATTTAGAGCAACATTCAGAGAGTGATGGTAATGAGGACCCACAATCCTGGCTCCAGGGGAATACTTCAGGATTAACCTCAGTGCTGGGTCAAGCACTGTCCCCTTTAATGAGGGATGTTAGGCCTTCCCAGGCAGCTGCATCTTGAGCTGAAATGTGACATAACCTCTTCTACCTTATCATGTCAGGTGACAAATTTAAACCACAGTGGGCTGAAAAAGGCTTGCTCAGCACTACAGATAATTTAATTCCTCAGTCATCTTTCCTCTTTATCTCCAGTTGACATGCTCCAGATTATAAAACAATGATAGAGACCATGTTCAGATAAACATAAACGTTATGAAGGTGTCCAGTGGGCTTTGTGCCCTTCCCTAGTTCACCTCTGTGAATGGCAGATTGGGGTGCTCCTGGCAAAGAGGGAAGAGATGAAGCTGGAGTGGTCTGTGCTGTGGGATCCACCTGTCTGTGTGACAGACTTCCTTCCAAACCTCAGCAGCCTTTCCCTGCCTCATGTGCAGCCCATGGGGCTTTGTGGGGGCTCTTGGTTGTGGATGGGGATGTATGAGTTTAACCTAGCCCTTTTCTGCATGGTGTGATTCTGCCAGTCTGCTTCCTTGGACTTTCTATTCTTAATATAATACACGTTTGTCCAGAAAATTACCTGGTTGGGCTTATAATGAAAAGTTTCCTGGGAACCACCACCTTTTTTTCTGCTCCACAATGGGCTCATTCCTAAAACAGGCTTGAAATATACCCCATTTCTCTTTGGGTGTTGGAGGATAAAAGCAGTTTATTTCATTAGTCATCTGTCAAAGACCAAACAGCTCCTAGATTTGAAAGTGCTGAATCCAAGTATTGTAATTTATGGTTGAGAGGCATCATCATTCAGTCAAATATGCTCTTTTCCCCAAGAATTTAATAAGAATTACCACTTTGATGTTGCTTTGTATACTGGATAAGCCACCTAAACATTTTGCGACTCCCCTTTTATAGAAATATAAATAATAGAAATAATGGGACATATATTGTAATTGTAAAGGGATTGGAGGCAGTTCCAGGACCTTTTTGCTACACTAACAATAGCAGTGATCTTCAAGACAGTTCAGCAGTGAGATACAGAAATTATCAGCAGTGCTTGCTGTGGTGTAACCTCAGCCAGAAAATCAGCCCACTTCCTGGTGTGATGGTGGAGAGAACTGGAAGGGTAAGAGTGACAAAATTCATGGGTTGAGATAAAAGCAGTTTAATAGGTAAAGCAAAAGCCACAGGTGCAAGCAAAGCCAAACATGGAATTCATTGACCACTTCCTAAGGACAGATAGGTGTTTGGCCATGTCCAGGAAATCCGGGGTCCATCATATGTAATGGGGACTTGGGAAGACCATCACTCTGAACATCCCCCTCTGATTCTTCCCTAATTTTATGTGCTGAGCATGTCTCCATGTGTTATGGGTTATCTCTTGGGTCAGTTGGAATCACCTGTCTGGGCTGTGTCCCCTCCCAGCTCCTCGTGCACCCCCAGCCCCTCGCTGCTGGAATAGGAGGCAGACAAGGCCTTTGTTCCGTCAGCAGTAACAAAAACATCTCTGTTGTTTCCAGCACAAACCCAAAAGATAGACCCATACTAGCTAACTATGGAAAAAATTAAGCTTCCCCAAGCCAACACCAGCACACCTACTTGGCCAGGAGCATGGAGAGAAGCATGTCTGTTGAACAGCTTCCAAGGCTACAGTGGCTTGGTGATGCCAGAGAGTACCTGTAGCCACTTGGCCATCCAGGATCTGACTTCTGCTGCCTCCTAAAGGCCAACCAGATGTAGTGACCTGACACTGAGGAAAGGAAAGCAAAGCTCTCTCCTAAGAGCTAAGATCATTAGTGAGTGTCTGAAGGGGAATATTTGTTGTGACATTGAATTGTGCAGTCTTTTAATTGCATTAAAATAGGTGTAGACCGTTTGATATTTGCACTAGAGTAAGTTTTTATGAGGCCAGACTAATGAATGAGCCCCTCTGCACCCTCTGAAATCATTTGAGTCCCTCCCTTGTGTATAGATCGAAATTACAGCAGCAGCCACAGCGAGTGTGGCAATGCCTGGAGAGCAGGCCAGTGCAGACCCATCCATCAATGTCCTATTGATATACTAACAAAAATGGACCAGTAGTGTGTCAGCATTAAGTGTTGCCCTGGTTTTATATGTGTGCATTTTTCTAGAGTTAATGCAATTTCAATTATGTCCTCTATAATTAAGTATCATTAATAACCATGTGTTTTATTAAACTAAAAATGTCTGGGAGGTGTCAGTCATCTTTTTATATATAGTACAATGGAGAGGGCTGCAGTAGATCCATATGGAGCCCAAAAGCCAGCTGAGAAAACTGGAAAGAAGTTTCATTTAGTAGAAGGAGGTTCACAGAAAGAAAAATATGCTGATGCTGTAAACTCCTTCATTCTGACCCTCCCATTCCACTTAGGCATGTTAGAGACAGTTCTCTAGTGAAGTCACTACTGAAACTGAGGAGGATAAGCAATAAGTTTTCAGATATGATCTATTCCTGGTAGCTGATGATTGATTTTAGATGTTTGAATAAGTGCACCTACCTTTTTTCCTAGTGATAGAATCTTTTCTAGTGCATAAAGTGTTGGATTACATCACCACATTTCTAGAGTGCAGCGGCAGCAATAGCTGTATTCCAGGTGCCTTTCTTAATCATTCAGATCCAAGAAAAGAGCATGCCTTTGAGCTGCCTGAGGGACAGCAGGATTGGCATCAAGGATGGGCACACCTCCTGTCCAGGCTGTGGGCCTGAAGTCAGTGAGAAGCTGGTGGTTTATCAGTGGCCGGTGGGCACAGCCACCAATAAGGAAGGCAGCCCATGGCAGGAGAGGGCTGTGCCTCACACCACAGAGTGCCACTTGTTAGCAGCAGCACTGTGCCCTGAGTGGACAAGGCAGGGGCTAAGGAAAAAGATGGTTTCCTTTTTTAGGATCATAGAATGCGATTGTTTGTCAAAACTAGTGGGCTGTGCATTCAGTTATTTTATAGCAGCAGTGTCAAGTGTTCTGCGTGTTATGATTATGTTGTATAACGCTAGAAAAAGTACAGAGCTGGCAGCTAAATTTGTTTTGCTAGCTGTAACCTTTACTGTGATCCAAGAGGTGTTTTTCTTGCCCCATATCAGTACTTTATTCACCATAAAACTACTCCTTTGCTATGCAGAATTACACATAAGCACATTTTCTTTCTTCTGCATCTATACAATACTTTGTGGAGAGCAATGTCAGCAGCAATGTAGGTACAGGATTCAGGAGTGACAGATACCTCTTCTTACCTCTGCTGCTGAAATTCTGACAGGCCTGATCCAAATCCACTGGAAGTTTTTACAAAAGGCTTCCATTTGTCTCAGTGATCTTTGCAACAAGTCCCAAGAGACATTTGTCAACCTCTTAGAGAAGAATTTTCAAATAATGGGAGTCCCACTTCAGTCAGTCAGGGGCTAATCCTTAAATGCTGGTCTCCATATATTTTGGATCATATACACCTATTAGCAAAAAAATTCACCCCCACTCTATGAACAATCAATTATTTATTTATTAATTCTATACATGTGCTACTGTACTAACATATATATTATAAAACATGCACAAAATATAATTTTTTAAAAGGATGAGTTGAAAATTAGTTGACAATTAAATCTATTAAATTATTTTAAAAATATATATATCAATGAGGCACACATAAAGAATGTCTTCCTTCATCCCAGTGGTCTGTCTTATGTGTACCCCAGTTTGCAGTCCATCATCTTAAAAAGTCCATTCATTGGCAGCAGCAACATAACATCATCTACCATCCAGAAGTTATCTATATACATCTTGTATGTACACCTCTGTTTGGAAACCACTTATTTATGTCACTCACAAGTTTGAACACTTCATAATATTGTCTATGGGAAGACCCTTATGAGGCTCTCCATTTGTAAAATGAAAAAAGCCCCAGGGAATTTAAGAAGATTGCATACACTGCAGGGGTTTTTTGAGAAGGTAACTAATGGACTACCACTACTGTAAGTCTTACAGGCTGCTAAACTCTGTAGCATTTGGGTTTCCTGGACAAAAAGTATCCTGGGCAAACTATGAAGATTAGTAAATGAGCTTGATATTACCCTTTTA